GGGTAGATGTAAGGGTGGGATACCCAAGGCCCAGGATGTGGGCCTTGGTGGTAGCTGAGCTGATCATCTGGACCACTGGGACTCCCTTAGGTGAGGGACAGAGTCACCTCTCCTAGGCCTGTGTTATCAGGGCCAGCTCTCCCATACCCATGATGAGGGGTACGAGCCATCTCTCCCAAGTGCAGGGGGCAGCTCTACTATGGGGGGGGGTGCCAACAGCTTTCCTGATGCAGTGTCCAGTGAGGGGCAGGGCCAGCTCAGCACAGCCCTTGTACTTCAACATATATGGCTCCTATGCCCTGTGGCAACATGGGCCATAGACATCATCACAAACCCCAGCTGCATGTTGGTGCCAAGGGCCATATTGTCATGGGGGTCCACGTTGATCTGAGTGCCCTGTATTGTCATATGTGGAGGGCCAAAAATGTGATCCTATTTCCACCTTGTCTGAGGGTCAGAGAGTTTGAGTTTGCTTAAAACTGTTGACAGCAACCTGGGCTATATATCCTCACCTGGGATGTGGTTACTTGGGTTTTGTGTGTGTGTGTGTGTGTGTGTGTGTGTTTTTGTTTGTTTTGTTTTGTTTTGTTTTTTTGACATTAAGATGGCCCATACAGGTAGATCCACTCCACCGTGACCAATGGTCAAAAAATTCAAGCATACTTCTGCTCCTTCTTTCGAAATAGGAGGTTTGACCTCTGGAGTGGCTGCCTTCAGAATACTTGGTCTAGGGTGGGTTCACTGCCTAAACAAAAGAATGCTAGCCGGGCGGTGGTGGCGCACGCCTTTAATCCCAGCACTCGGGAGGCAGAGGCAGGTGGATCTCTGTGAGTTCGAGACCAGCCTGGTCTACAAGAGCTAGTTCCAGGACAGGCTCCAAAACCACAGAGAAACCCTGTCTCGAAAAACCAAAAAAAAAAAAAAAAAAAAAGAATGCTAATGACTTGATGTCTCAAACAACTGAAGCAAGTAACTGTTCTAATTGTCCCACCTTACCCTAATGAGAACACATAACTACAAGTGTGAGGACTGTCTGGTAATACTGGGGTAGGACTGTCCTTCCTATATCTGTCTCACCTTTTAGGAACAGCTTCTACTGTCCTGGCCTCTACACCAGAGAACCGTACGTATGATGGCTGTGGGCTTACTGGTGTAGGATTCTCCAGTGTATTTCTGTCTTACCTTTTAGAAACAGCTTCTACCTTCTTCCCCTGCTACCAGAGAACAGCACATGTGAGGCCTGGGGGCTTATACTGGGGTAGAAATGGCCATCCTATGTCTGGATTAACTTTTAGAAACAGCTGTTACTATTCACTTCTGTGATGAGAGACCTGCATGTGTGAGGAGTGTGGCCGTAAAGTGGGGTATAGAACTGTCCATCCTATATTCGTGTCGCCTTATGAAAACAGCTTCCATGTTCGATTCCTCTGACAGAACCGCATGTGTGAGACCTGTGGGCTTATCCTGGTATACCTGGTATACCATTAGTCCATCTGTCCTTGTAAGCATTGCAGCTCAGATGGAAAGGGATCCTGGCAGTCGGGAGCCAAGGAATACTGAGTGTTACAGCTTGAGTTGAACAGGCTCTGGCAGTCGGGAGCCAGGGAATAGCACAGGTCACAGTAAGCATGGCAGCTTACAGCCCTGCCCTGGGCTTCCCTGATGTAACAGCTCTGCTCAGGAAGGAGACGGCTTCTGCAGCGAAGTTGTTACAGTTCCTCTGGTGCCCAAAAGTGTAACAACTCGGCTCTGCTAGAGGAAGCTGTTAACTGTCCTGCTCCGCTCCGCTCCTCCATCTCAGCTCTGGTGAAAGAAGGTCATCATTCAAATCTCATTCAAGAGGTTTATTAGTTAGCCACTGAAACCGTCCGGTTTATTAGGAGGAAGAATCCAGGAGAGTTTTTGCCTGGAAGAAGAGCAGCAGCAAATTGAACAGGTGCAGGGCTGATAAAGGGCTTGTTAGCCGTGGAGCTTTTCCAGGGAGAAGATTTTCAGGGAGACACTTGATCAGATTTTAGTTCCTTGCGTCCAGATTGGCTACATCTCTACTCAGGGGTTGGTTGGTTTTATGCTCGGAGATTGGTTGGTTTTCTCCTTACTTGCCTTAGTTGGTCAGGGGCAGATTTGGCTCTGGTTTCAGGGCCAAAATGTGTTTCTTTCACTGGCCTTTTAGTTTATTTTATTTTGCTTTTTTTTTTTTTTTTGGCCTGGAGGGATGGCTCAGCCGTTAAAGGCTAGGCTCACAACCAAAAATATTTTACTTTTTTGACCCTAGTTTGGGGGCCAGGGCATATTTCTTTCACTGACTCTGATTCTAGGGTCAAAGTGTGTTTGTTTGGCACTGGTTTCATTGTCAGGGTGTATTTCTTTGCTTCTGGGTTCACGGCTAAAGCATTTCTTACTGGCTTGGGTCTTAGAACCAGTTGTGTTTCTTTCTCTGTCTCCGGCTTCAGAGCCAGGGTGGATTTGTTTGGCTGTCTGGCCCTTTTGCCCTACAGGCACAGTGTGTTTCTTTGGCTGGCCCTTTTACCCTACAGTATTACCTTTTAGAAACAGCTTCTAACTTAATCTCATGCCACCAAAGAACTACATATATAAGGACTGTGGGCTGATAGTGAGGTAGCACCATCCATCCTGTATTTGTCTTACCTTCTTGAAAAAGCTTCTACGTTCCTCGTGTATGTGTGAGAACCTTGGGCTTATACTAGGGTACAACTGTCCATCCTGAATTTGTCTCACCTTTAACAAATATCTTCTCCCTTGTGCTCTTGCCACCCCATAACTGTATGTATGTGAGGAGTGATGGCTTATTCTGTGGTTGGACTGTCCGTCCTGTATCTTTCTTGCCAGTTGGAAATAGTGTCCACCTTCCTCTCCTGCCACCAGGGAACTGCACATGTGAGTGCATACTTGATTGACTTCTCTGCTTTCGTGTCCTTTTGTCCTTCTTGTTTCAGGTGTCCCTTCACTTCCCTTGTAGAGTTTCAAAACTCTCTTTCTCTGTCTCTGTCTGTCTGTCTCTGTCTCTGTCTGTCTGTCTCTCTCTCTCTCTCTCTCTCTCTCTCTCTCTCTCTCTCTCTCTCTCTCTGTTTTTTTCGAGACAGGGTTTCTCTGTAGCTTTGGAGCCTGTCCTGGCACTAGCTCTTGTAGACCAGGCTGGCCTGGAACTCACAGAGATCCGCCTGCCTCTGCCTCCCGAGTGCTAGGATTAAAGGTGTGCGCCACCACTGCCCGGCCTATTCCTCTCTCTTTTGGTGAAGTGTGGCTTATTTTTTCTCAACCTATCCCTCTTCTTCACTGACTCATACAGAGATATCCCCTATTCAGTCATTTTCCCCACAAGTCCTCCAAGCTGGACCTTAAAAAAAAAAAACTATGAAAAGGGAGATGCAAAAGGAAATGCTGCCTCTTCTGTTTAACTCTCATTGTGGCAAAATAGCAGGAAATTTTCTCATCATAAACCATGATCACATATCTTTGGAATTAATATTAACATTACAAGGATTGGCCAGTTAAGAGGCTGGGGAGACCCCTCAGTAGGTAACGTGCTGTTTTTTTTTTTCACAGTACATCTCTCTATGTCAACTGCAGAATGCCATAGCACATGCTAAAGGATAAGAGTTATCCTCCTAACGTTGTATCCTTAACCAAAGTCTCACTTAAGAATGAAATTACAATAGACACATCTCTGGACTTCCAGGAGTTCCTTCAAGGAAAGCTCCATTGCGACAGCTGCTGAGGAGTTATGAGTGCCTTCGGCTATGACCTGACTGCATAGAGCTGATAACCCCAAGATCACACATTTCCAAATAGACCACCTCCAGGACTGGTCCAGGTGAGTGTAGCAGTGCTGTTTGTTCTACATAAAGGCAGACCATGTTACTTCCAGCATTGTTTTGGGGATCAAAGAATACTTTGTTTGAACTACATCAATGATACACAACTGCTTCTGCCAACGCTGACCTCTTTCTGTCTCTTTATCCTTTCCTTAGGCCTGTATTCTGAATAAATTTCATATATACTAAATTCCAGATAGAAGGCATCTTCCTCATGTTTGTTTGTATTTTAGTATTTTGGTATACACACACATCTAGAAATATATATATAGAGAGAAATATATATAAATGTTTAGGGATATATGGAATGTGTATGGGCATATACATATATATGAATATGTAAATATATAGTCACACACTTTTACACACATATATACATATTTAGAAATAATAAACATTTAAGAATATATAAAATCTAGACATATGTGTATTTACATATATCAATATATATGAAAATAGACATACGTTTGCACACATGTATTTAGATATATATACAAGCATTTAGAAATACATATAATATAGATAATTACATGTATATCCATACATACATATGAAATATATAGACACACACATATAAAATGCATTATGTCTCTTTCTGTGTGTAACAACAAAGAAGAACAGTTCGTGAATATGAGAGTTAAAGCATGAATTTGAGAGGGGGGAGAGCCATGGGAGGAGTTGGAGAAAAAAAATGGAAGGGGAAATGATGTAATTTTAACTTCAAAAACTAAAATATATTTTACTATTTTTAAAGAGTGAGTAATGGCCCAAACTTGCTTAATATAAGAGACTTGAATTACTGAACTCAGGCTCTTGAAAGGTGTCAGAACTGATATGTGCTCTTTATGGATTCTTTTCTTTTGGTTGTCTTTCAAAGCCATAATGGTGTGACACCAGCCCCCTGACATGATCCTATAATGTTACACTGTGCCCATGGGTATCTTAGAAGGGTCCAGGGTTCCAGTTGCCAACCAGAAGATTAGCGAATCGTTGAGTTCCTATTCTGATTGGGTAACATGTCACCAGGCTTAGGAACCATCCAATCACACTTTCTAACAGATTCGTTGTCCAATCAGATGTCGAGTTGGTCTGTCATGCGTCGTAACGCCTCATGCGCAGTACGTCACTTACCTCACAAACTGCCATTTTCTGACTTATCTGTTCATGGCGACTCCCTCGGTCTCTGTGGCAGGTGCCTCAGATATGGACACTGGGCAGGAGTCAACCTCTGTGGAGGAGCCAACGGCTGTGGACGAGCAAGCCTCTGATACATCTGAGGAAGCTGTCAAGGTCCGAAAGCCTAAAAAAGCTATCTCAAAGAAGAAGAAGCAGCTGCCGGAGAAGTCAGAGAAACCAGAGAAGCACCGCCGCTCTCTCCATCTTCTCCAGCGCCAACGCATGAAGGAAAAAGAGCTTAGAGCAGCCCGTCTCTTCAGACGCCGCTGTAGGAACAGCTTCTCCATCTACTTTCCCAAGGTACTAAGACTTGTCCATGTGGGTCTCACCCTGTCCCAGAGGTCTGTAAGCATCTTGGATTCTTTCGTAAAGGATATGTTTGAGAGAATTGTGACGGAAGCAAGCAATCTGGCCCGTCTAAACAACAGCACGACTATCAACTCCAGAGAGATCCAGAGTGCAGTACGCCTTCTTCTTCCAGGAGAGATGTGTGATCGAGCAATAGCTGAAGGTACCATGGCCATGCTCCGGTACATCTCCACCAAGTGAATGGCTTAGACTTCTTCAAAACCCAAAGGCTCTTTTAAGAGCCACCACTTCTCCTAAAAGAGGTGTAGCATCAGCTTGAGTTTGACCTCAGGAACCCTCCCACACTTTTAAGCATCCCCAATTAATTAAATAAAATGTTGTTTGTTAGAATATATGTCGACTCATGATTTATTTGGGGTTACATCAGGAAAGTGGTAGTTTTTTTTAATTAGGTTGTACTATGTCACTTTTTCATTTTATTGAAAATATAAAGCAGTTCATCCAGTAATTGATGGAAGCAGATGCAGAGATCCTCAGACTAGTACTGGGCAGAGCTCCAGGAGCCCAATTAAAGAGAGGGAGGAAGGGTTATATGAGCAAGGGGGTCAAAATCATGACAGAGAAACCCACAGAGACCTGAACTCATGGGAACTCACAGACTCTGGACTGACAGCCAGGGGGCCAGCAAGGGACCTAGGTCCTCTGTTTCTGGGTGACAGTTGTGTAGCTTCATCTTTTGTGGGAGCCCTGGCAGTGGGACCAGGACCAGTCTATGATGCATGTACTGGCTCTTTGGAGGCTATTCCCTATGGTGGGATAGTTTGCCCAGCTTTGATACAAAGGGGCGGAGCATGGTCCTGCCTCAATTTGATATGCCTTGCTTTGTTGTCTCCCATGGGAGGCCTTATCCCATCTGAATGGAGATGGAGAAAGAGAGGATGAGGGTAGAATGGAGGTAGGGGAGGGAACAGGAGGAGTAGAGGGAGGAGAAACTGTCGTCAGTATGCAAATAAATAAATACATAGGTAGGTAGGTAGATGATAGATAGATAGATTATAGATAGATTGTTAAAAAAGAAAAGAAAATATAAGGTAGGACAGCCAGACACAGTAGACTCTGGGAAGAAGGCAGGCAGAGTCAGAACAGTCACTAGGAGTCACAGAGGGAGCAGGACAGGCTGGAGGACAGGTAAAGCCACGAACTACATGGAAGAATGCAGATTAATAGAAATGGGTTATTTAAGTTGTAATAAACTTGAGCTCTTGGCCAAGCATTTATAATATATATAAAATCTGATTATGAATACCCTCCCTCTACTCCCCCCATTCTCCCACATCCCCTTCCATCTGGATCTACCTTGTTTCTATCTCTCAATAGAAAACAGACTTCTGAGGTGTTATAATATATAACATAATATTAATATAATAATATAATGATTATAATATATAATATATATGTATTATATATATAACAACCTCGACCAAACAATGGATAAGGAAAATGTGGTATATTTACACAATGGAGTACTACACAGCAGAAAATAATAACAACAGCTTGAATTTTGCAGGAAAATTGATGGAGCTAGAAAACATCAAATTGAGTGAGGTAACCCAGACACAGAAAGACAGTTATCACACGTACTCACTCAAGTGGTTTTTAAACAAGAAGCAAAGAAAACCAGCCTACAAACCACAGTCCCAGAGAACTAGACAACGAGGGCCCTACGAGAGACATATATAGCTATGTGGGAAGTAGAAAAAGACAGGATCTCCTGAGTAAATTGGGAGCATGGGGACCTTGGGAAAGCGTTGAAGGGGAGGAGAGGCAGGGAGGGGAGCATAGAAAAATGTAGAGCTCAATAAAAATCAATAAAAAAGAGTAACCTATAGGAACTAGAATAAAGGGAGTATAGTTTGTTTCCCCAGTAAGACTCCCTTTGAGAAAACTAATTTTTCATTTATAAGTATAGTTATCAATAGGATATTGCTTCTGGGTTAGGGATGAGGGCATATGTCGGCTTCTCTTTTCAGCTCTAGGGCCCCAACTGGTGAAGGTCCATGTAGGCCTTTTTCATGCTGCCTCAGTCTCTCTGTGACTTCAAATGTGTGTGTATCATCTTGATTTAGAGGGCCTTGTTTTCTTGGTGTTCTCTACCTCCTCTGGATCATACAATTTCTCCCTGTTCCTTCTTTGACCAGGACCAGCTTCCCTGAGCCATGGGGGTGGGGGGGGGGTAATTTGATGGAGACATCTCATTTATAGCAGATTGCTCCAAGGTCTCTTACTCTCCACATATGTCTGGCTGTGAGTCTTTGTATTTGTTCCTAGTTGCTGCAGGAGGAAGCTTCTCTGATTACAGATGAGCCAGGAACTGATCTAGAAGAACAGAAGAATACCATTAGGCATCAGTTTTTGTCACAGGTATTGTGGCACAGATGTGCAGGTTCATGGGGGTCCATGAAATGAAGACTTGGAGACACTTTGAGAATGAACTTAGCCTTAGCAGCAGCAGGGGTCCCCAACCTCAGTGAACTGAAGCATGTTCCTTATCCCTTCAGCATTTTTATTTTTCCCTGTGTGTACACTTTAGCCAGTACATTTCCATCAGCTCACAACAACCTGAATGAAGCTTCCAAATACACAATGCCAAGTGCAAATACCTGGATTCAGGAGGTACCATGGTTTTCTGGGTTTCCTCCCTTGTATCCATGGGAAACTCTCAGACAAGATTCACATAGGGCAACTAAAGGTATCTGTAACACAAAGGGTGAATTAGGGCTGGGTGCTAACTCTGGAGCTAGAGTAAGCCAGGTATGGCCCAGCAGGGTTTATGGCTAGTATTGGCGGGGGGGGGGGGGGGGGGAGAAAGGGTTGCTTGCTAACCCTCTGGTGCCAGGCTGGTAGGAAATTCTGCCACAGATTTCCTTCTCCTTTGTACAAAATTTAATTATTTCGAAGGTTATGCACCCTCATAGTATATATGGGTATTTTTTTCTCTGTGTCTTACAATCTTACATAAGTAGATCAAAACACATTTTAAAACTAGTAAACCTGCTCTTACTAGGACAAGAACAGCAACTGCTACATTAAGAGTTCTGTTAAAGCGATTCATAGGGCTGAAAGGAGCTATGGTGTCTGCAAGACTTTCCATACTATCCATTCCTGTCATATCAGGTAACGTTATTGTAAAAGTCTCCCCAGTTTCTTTCTGTAAATCATAGAACATTTGAGAAGAATTAGGGAGATGCAACAAATGCATCTTAACCTTATCCCAACCATACTTGCATTCCTTAGATCTTAAGGGTGTAATATAAGAAGAAACATTCTAATCACGTTTTAATTTTATCTGTTTCTTCAAAATTCCTAACTAATCCCCTAACAATATAACAATTTGCCTTAACTCAGCTAATTCATTTACTATCTCATTATCAATTTTATTTTGTGCAGTCCAAAGTTCTGTTGACCGTTTATGCCACTCTTGAATTCAACAGTTTGGATTTCTTCATGAAGCGCCAGCCCAGCTGTCACTGCTGTAGCTGTCAATGCTATGATCCCCAAGGTAACCACAACAACCAGTCCAACTATTCAGCGTGTTCTTTTCAATAGCCTCTCAGTGAACTTCTGCACAAGAGATTCACAGGAGAGTCTTGCCATGGCTCAACCACCTCACTGGTATCCAGATTGCCGGCCTTGCTCTTAGAATATATAAACTCTTAATAGTCAAATTTAACTAGTGTTAGCGTGGGTGCACACCTTTAATCCCAGCACTTGGGAGGCAGAGGCAGGCAGATCTCTGTGAGTTCAAGGACAGCCTGGTCTACAAGAGCTCGTTCCAGGACAGGCTCCAAAGCTACAGAGAAACCCTATCTTGAAAAAAAAAGAAAAAGAAAAAGAAAAAAACTATACTAGAGTTAACACAGGTATGAAGGGTACAGCGTTCACAAGTGATGCTATAATTTTTAGGGTTCTATTTTAACAGGCCCTTTCAGTAGTGAGTAAGATATATATTATGGCTGATGGCTGGTTTATTATGATCCTTAATGTTTAATTTTCCTTCCCATGCCTTAAGAGAGTGGAAGGCACTTGTCAATTTCCACAAGTTAGTCTGAATTAAATTGCCAAATTGCAGGAGAGGATTTGCTATTCCAACTCCATGCATTAAAATTCTGTCATTTCCATCTTAGCTCTGAGTGAGAATATTTTTCTTGAAGTGAAGCCCAGAAGGGCCCCAGTCTATGATGTCTCCTTGGGCTATATTAATTAATACTCAAGGCTTCTCACTCTTACATTATTGCTAATTCACCCAATCAGATTCCTGTAGGTAACCCATATCTCACAGAATGATAGATTTATGGAATTAGTAGCATTAATCTCCTGCCCTTTAAAACCAGATGCTTGAAGCATATAAAACTTGTTAAGATCATCTCTGGTAGTATTGACTATTGATAGGCATAACTGAGAAGTTACCTTTAGGCATTGAGTTCCATTTCCCATGCAAATGGGAATTCCCTGTACTCCCACAGTGTAATTGTCAATCACTCCACCCTCCTCCGTTGGCTGAGAAGGACCTCTGTTGTCATATGGACCAGGTAGCTATGAAGATTCTGTAACCACTACAGGAATATCTGTATCTCCCCAACTCACTTCTATGTTAATTGGAGAATTGGGTATAAAAGCCCAATATGTATAGTTTGTCCTTGGCACCTGTATAATTACCACAAATAAGTATATCAAGGACCAGATTTGCAGCATTCAAGTTTCGGAGTCATTTCCCTCCTCTTTGTCACATAAATTCTTAAGCTGCCCCCCAGGTGGGAGGATTCGCTGTCTGCTCCACAGGTCTTTGGTTTCCCAGAGGCATCTCAGCAGCTGAAGCATCAGAGAGATTCCTCTTGCTCATGTGGGATTTTATCAGTTTTGATGGAATCCATATTTCTTTTATCTCCTGTGGAAGCGAGGCATAACCTCAGCCCTAACTTAATACTTTCTCTGGACTACTTTAATGTTAAATCATTTAAAATACATGGTCTGACTTGATTCGGCAGTTTTTTTCCCATAATCCAATGGCTTTCAGCAACTGTTATCCCTATTTCATTAACATTTAAAAACTTTAAATTAGAAGTTAGCAAAGCGTTATGTATTCTACCTCTTTGGTCCCACACAATCATACACAGCACCCTTTTCACTACTGAAAATATCACGATTTCTGGATTGGATGGTCAGCCCCCTATGGAGAGACA